TATCCTCTTGTCATACGTAGAGCAAATTTTACTTTGTAAAGGGATATTCATCCTCTAAAGGAAAAACATTATTATTCAAGAGAGGCAACGTGGGAAATTTATGATGCGGCGGTATCAAAATCGTCTGCCAACGCAGAAAGGGAAACGTAGTTTAGCCAGTGGTGAAAACTGGTTTTAAATGATGGCCCTGCCCAGGAAGAGAAGGTCTGAGGTCTAATATTCACCACATTGACAAGATCCTAGGCAGTAATCGCAAGCTTTTTTTAATAATTATGACCCATGGACACATTTTCTCTTGTGTTAATAAATCAATGCAGGTTTCACTGAACGGTGCTACAAAAAGTGTCATGCAAAATTGTTATTCAGTGGACTTAGATAGTATTTATGTCCTGCAGATATAGAAAATCAATTTTGAAATTAAAACAACATTAAGAACATCCAGGCACGGACCGAGATACAGGGGGGGGGGCAAGACTGCTTTACCCCCCAAATATTACAAGAAGTTAAGCTGTATGAGAAAAATAGTGTTATTTTGAAAAATATGGCTGTTTTCACACTTATCTATCAGGGCTGGCCCCTAAAACAAAAAACTGTATCATTGTGTTTGAACCCGAGCCTGGAGTTGTCAAAAAAATAAGAGCATCAAGCGTCGGCAAAAATTAGTTGTTCTTATAACAAAATGTTACCTTTTTAGTTCACCTTCAAGTTTGACATTTATCAATTGAATAAAGTTATGAATATCGATCCAACTAAACATGAACATTTCAGTGTTACATTTTTATTTTATATTATGTTTTGACATTTAACAAATTAGTGAAGTAAAAAATGTCCATCAAATTAAACATGAACATTATGGAGGATCGCTATATCGGAGCCAAATGGAACATTGTTAAAATTGCATAAAATTTAGACATTTTCAACAAACTCTACACGTTCAGTTTTAAATTTTTAGTTTATGTTATATTTTGATATTTATCAATCGGAGCCAAATGGAACATTGTTAAAATTGTATAAAATTTAGACATTTTCGACAAACTCTACACGTTCAGTTTTAAATTTTTAGTTTATGTTATATTTTGATATTTATCAATCGGAGCCAAATGGAACATTGTTAAAATTGCATAAAATTTAGACATTTTCAACAAACTCTACACGTTCAGTTTTACAATTTTTAGTTTAGGTTATTTTTCTTATTTATCAATTTAAATAAGTAAAAAATGTCGATCGAATTAAACATGAACATTATGGAACATGGCTCAATCGTAGCCAAATAGAAAATGTTGAGATCGTATAAAATTTAGACATTTTCAACAAACACTCCAAAATCTGTGTTACCTTCCTAGTTCAACTTATAGTTTTATACTCAATTGTAACCGAATAGAAAAATTGTTGAAATAGTATAAAACTTAGACATTTTCAGCAAACTATATGAAATCAGTGTTACCTTCTTAGTTCAACTGATAGTTTGATATTTATCAAGTGACTAAATTTATAAATGTCAATCAATCTAAAGATGAACATTAAGGGGGATCGCTGAATCAAAGCTACACAAAAAATTGTTGAAATCGTACAAAGTTAGACATTTTCACTTAACTATCCAAAATCAGTTTTACTTTCTTGAATCATTTTATAATTTCATATTTATCAATTGAATAATGTTATAAACGTCGATCAATCTAAGGATGAGCATTATGGAGGATTGCTCATGTCGCTGCTAAACAAAAATTATCGGCCATGTTTAAATGCAACACAAGCTTTGTGTATAGCCAGCACAAGAAGCAGATATATCAGGAATTCAAGTGTGAGATTGACAGAGTATAACAAAGCATATGTTCGAGACGTGAAATAAGGCTCTAAGAGTAACCAATTTTTTATTTACTGGTAAGAGTTTACAGTTTTACTGTGTTAACCAAGGATTTCACAGATAATAAATCTTCATAATAACATGGCTGTACTCTGTCTAACGGAAATTTGGTAAGCTTTTCGTAGCTCTCTGTTTTGGCTGTCTTTCATGGCAAAGCATTCTTGCCTCACCCTCTTTACAATGATATGATTGGTTGATGAAAACCACCTTCCAGCTTGATTGAGAGGATCCAATATTGCTAGTAAAATACCGTTTATTCTAATTTGTTAGTTTCAAACAATCCCACTGCCACATATAAAAATGAACTTCGCAAATGAGCACCCAGTTCCTCCTGACACTCGCACACAACACTGTCAGAATGATATCCCAAAGGAGACAAAGGGATATGGTGGGGGCTAGCCCTTACTCCGACTTGTGGTGCCGGTCTGCGTCCATTGACGTTGCACACAACGCTTGTCAGATAGAGGGGATTCCTAGGAGACAAAGGGATACCTTCGTTGGCTAGCCCCCGACGAGACCTTTTTTGGCTTTCAAGGCAGAGTGATATAGGTCTCACAGAATATTTAACTACATAGCAGAAATATTAGCTTTATTCAATTTGTAAATATCCTCCATACTTAAAAAATCATTAGTTTTCACAAATTCAAAGGAATAGCTGATAAGATCTGAACAAGGGGCATAAGGTCAATGAATCATCTTTTTCCCAATTCTTATTCCACAGTATCTATTTGCAATATAGAATTGATAGTTTCAGATCATTTGTAATGGCAGTCTTTTGCTAACAAGTTTAACAGTCCGATACCCGGAATAATTTAAATTGATAGACTTAATAGTAAATATACATTTTGTTACAACGACATTTTTGTCATTATTAAATGATACCCAGCATCCCAACCCCATTTTGTCAGTCCCAATTGTCTATTACAAACAGTGCACAAAACAGAATAAAGCTGCAATTTATTGCCACTGCTTCTAACATTCTAAATCTAACCTTCTTCTGAAGCCAGACTATTGACCCCAGACATAAATAAGATATTATATCCAAAAAACATAAAAATTCTTTCAAACAAACATTCTTTTGATAGCAAAGACTTAAATTTTTGCTACAAAAAATCCATTAGATCTAACTGAGAAGGGGAAATATGATGTGTATGCAAAATTCAAAGGGGTCAAAGAGAAGAAGAAAATAACTTCAAGGTGCTATATTTTAGACTGAAAACATAATGGTATTTTGGTTTGATTGTAAGTTGGAAAGTACTTTAAAGGTCGAGAATGAGCTGGAATTCTTGTTAGACAGAATGTCTGCTGGTTTGATCATTCTGGCTGGAAAAACGTTTGAAAAATGTTGAAGATGCCAACTGCACAATCATCCTGAATTTTCGTCATAATGTCAATGTATCAGCAATGGACTTCAATTTTCAGACATGTTTCATTGCTGGTAATGAGAATAGTGAGCATACACCCTATGAGGATAGTCGAGGAAATGTAAAAGGGTGATTCTTGGGTTCATATCTTATCCAAACGTAGGTATAAAGATATGTCGCAAAATATTTGTGGATTGGTGATGCACCTATTGAAAGATATCTAACGATAAAAGTACGGAGACCTGACTATGAGTTGCATAGATATAATTGGTAAATGGTGGACCTAGAAGTGATGTAGCAACAGACAATATTCTAAGGTATTCATCACTGCACAAATACATAAATTTTGCAATTCAAACTAGTATCGCAATTGTCAGTAAAGCATTAGTCCGAGTACCGTGGGTGCGTTTTGCAGATAGGGTTGTTATGCTTTTCATCAACAAACTAATACCTCAAAATTATGGGTAGATTTCATATAATTAATGTACCCATCTATATATACCCATTCCTTTTCTTGAAGAGCTTTAAAGGTCGACCCTTAATCGACCCCCACCCTTTTTTTGAAAATTTATTAGCTGGAAGTAAATGAACTTGGACTGATCATTATAGCACCATCTAATGAGAGAGGGATGGGTAGAGGTACACTTTAGGCTTCAGTACTGAAGATACAGCGTAGCTGAGTAGCTGAAGTTCACTTAAAAGTAGCTAAAGCTCTCGTAACTGAATACAAAATAGACAAACTTATGCTTACTGCGATAAAAATGATTGTGCCAACTCGCTATTGCCTATTAGATATAAAATGTGATAAATTTGCTTCATGATTTATTGAAACATACCAGCGAAAGAAAACACTAGCAAACATAAATATATATATCACACATGAAAACAGATTTCCCAAGAAAAATCGATTGGAACTTTTTGTAATTGAATCAAGTGCTCCTTCAGTAAACTTTAAGCGAGAAACCGATTCCTTGGTAAATTTGGGGAACCTGTAGGCTTTGAGCCGGTGAGAATGATATAAGAAATGTCCGTGTATCCATTGCGTGTATCCATTATCCATTGCAAAAATTTAGTCTCAGCACACAACAGACCTAAAACTAGTTCAACAAGCCGTCTTATGCGCAAGACAATATGCCAACCCCTAGGTATATATCAATATCAGCTAGTTTTTAAAAGTTACAACATTTTTGATTAAACAAATTGCACTTTTTGTTTAGTTGGTGGCTGTTTCATACATTTTGATTACTAATGAAAACAATTAGAAAATTTCACGCTGCATGAATTCAGACTCATTGCTGCACATTTTCCATTCATCATTGCACAAATTGATCATCACTGCACCTTATAATATTGCCTGTGTAGCACTTTATTCAAACGATTAAAAATTGAACACAAAACACAATGTCAATGTAAGAGTTTTCGCATGTTGCTGTCTTGAATATATTTTGTGATTTCCTATGCCTGTGTTAATTGAAATGTTTATGCTCCCTTTTCACTCCCAAGCCCCATATGTTTCAAGATATCAAAATAATTATAAATGAATTAGTACCTCAATTGATAGAACAGCCTTAATCAATCCAAGCCATGTCAAACCAAATGTTGTCCTAAGTTCATCTTTCTGCGAGCATGAAGTATTTCCGAATAAAGCCAGAGAAAGGCACTTTCAGAAATTTAGCAAAATGATCTTATGAGACCTTTCTAAAAGTTCTTCAGTCATAATTCAAGTGTTGAAGAGAGGGCATCGAAAGTCACAAGCTTCAATGAGTGTCGAGAGAAATTTTTTAGGAAAGGATAAAAGGATAAATCAGGGAAAAGGGCAAGAGGAAGAACAACAAGAGACGGTCTCAATTGTCGAAGAGACACCAAAAGAAAATCACAACTTCAATGAATGTTGAGAAAGATTTTTTGGAATGAATAAAAAAAATCAGGGAAAAGGGCAAAAGGAAGAACAACAAGGACGGTCTCAATTTTTAAGAGACACCAAAAGAAACTCGCAAACTTCAATGAATGTTGAGAAAGATTTTTTTCAAGAATGAATTAAAAGAAAATCAGGGAAAAGGGCAAGAGGAAGAACAACAAAGACGGATTCAAGTGTTGAAGAGACACCAAAGAAAATCACAAGCTTCAATGAATTGTTGAGAAAGATTTTTTAAGAATGAATTAAAAGATCAGCAAAAGGGCAGAAAGGAAGAACAACAAGAGACGGATTCAAGTGTTGAAGAGACACTAACAAAAATCACAAGCTTCAATGAATGTTGAGAAAGATTTTTTAAGGAATGAAAAAGATAATCAGCGAAAAGGGCAGAGAGGAAGAACAACAAAGACGGTTTCAAGTGTCGAAGAGACACTAACAAAATCACAAGCTTCAATGAATGTTGAGAAAGGGAATGAATAAAAATAATCAGCGAAAAGGGCAGAGAGGAAGAACAACAAGAGACGGATTCAAGTGTCGAAGAGACACTAACAAAAATCACAAGCTTCAATGAATGTTGAGAAAGATTTTTTAAGGAATGAATAAAAATTCAGGAAAAGGGCAGAGAGGAAGAACAACAAAAGACGGTTTAAAGTGTTGAAGAGACACTAACAAAAATCACAAGCTTCAATGAATGTTAAGAAAGATTTTTTAAAGGAATGAATAAAAAAAATCAGCGGAAAGGGCAGAGAGGAAGAACAACAAGAGACGGATTCAAGTGTTGAAGAGACACTAACAAAAATCACAAGCTTCAATGAATGTTGAGAAAGATTTTTTAAGGAATGAATAAAAATAATCAGCGAAAAGGGCAGAGAGGAAGAACAACAAGAGACGGATTCAAGTGTCGAAGAGACACTAACAAAAATCACAAGCTTCAATGAATGTTGAGAAAGATTTTTAAAGAATAAATAGAAACAAAAATTCAGGGAAAAGGGCAGAGAGAAAGAACAACAAGAGACGGTTTCAAGTGTTGAAGAGACACTAACAAAAATCACAAGCTTCAATGAATGTTGAAAGAGATTTTTTAAGGAATGAATAAAAATAATCAGCGAAAAGGGCAGAGAGGAAGAACAACAAGAGACGGATTCAAGTGTCGAAGAGACACTAACAAAAATCACAAGCTTCAATGAATGTTGAGAAAGATTTTTAAAGAATAAATAGAAACAAAAATTCAGGGAAAAGGGCAGAGAGAAAGAACAACAAGGGACGGTTTCAAGTGTCGAAGAGACAGCCAAAAAAATCACAAGTTTCAAGGAATGTTGAGAAAGATCTTTTTCAGAATGAATAAAAAAAATCAGCGGAAAGGGCAGAGAGGAAGAGCAACAAGAGACGGTTTCAATTGTCGAAGAGACACCAACAAAAATCACAAGCTTCAATGAATGTTGAGAAAGATTTTTTTCAAAATGAATAAAAAAAATCAGCGGAAAGGGCAGAGAGGAAGAACAACAAGAGACGGTTTCAATTGTCGAAGAGACACCAAAAAAAATCACAAGCTTCAATGAATGTTGAGAAAGATTTTTAAGGAATGAATAAAAATAATCAGCGAAAAGGGCAGAGAGGAAGAACAACAAGAGACGGATTCAAGTGTTGAAGAGACACTAACAAAAATCACAAGCTTCAATGAATGTTGAGAAAGATTTTTTAAGGAATGAATAAAAATAATCAGCGAAAAGGGCAGAGAGGAAGAACAACAAGAGACGGATTCAAGTGTTGAAGAGACACTAACAAAAATCACAAGCTTCAATGAATGTTGAGAAAGATTTTTTAAAGAATGAATAAAAAAAAATCAGGGAAAAGGGCAGAGAGAAAGAACAACAAGGGACGGTTTCAAGTGTCGAAGAGACACCAACAAAAATCACAAGCTTCAATGAATGTTGAGAAAGATTTTTTCAGAATGAATAAAAAAAATCAGCGGAAAGGGCAGAGAGGAAGAACAACAAGAGACGGTTTCAAGTGTCGAAGAGACACCAACAAAAATCACAAGCTTCAATGAATGTTGAGAAAGATTTTTTTCAAAATGAATAAAAAAAATCAGCGGAAAGGGCAGAGAGGAAGAACAACAAGAGACGGTTTCAAGTGTCGAAGAGACACCAACAAAAATCACAAGCTTCAATGAATGTTGAGAAAGATTTTTTAAGGAATGAATAAAAATAATCAGCGAAAAGGGCAGAGAGGAAGAACAACAAGAGACGGATTCAAGTGTTGAAGAGACACTAACAAAAATCACAAGCTTCAATGAATGTTGAGAAAGATTTTTTAAGGAATGAATAAAAATAATCAGCGAAAAGGGCAGAGAGGAAGAACAACAAGAGACGGATTCAAGTGTTGAAGAGACACTAACAAAAATCACAAGCTTCAATGAATGTTGAGAAAGATTTTTTAAGGAATGAATAAAAATAATCAGCGAAAAGGGCAGAGAGGAAGAACAACAAGAGACGGTTTCAAGTGTTGAAGAGACACTAACAAAAATCACAAGCTTCAATGAATGTTGAGAAAGATTTTTAAAGAATAAATAGAAACAAAAATTCAGGGAAAAGGGCAGAGAGAAAGAACAACAAAGGACGGTTTCAAGTGTCGAAGAGACAGCAACGAAAATCACAAGCTTCAATGAATGTTGAGAAAGATTTTTAAAGAATGAATAGAAACAAAAATTCAGGGAAAAGGGCAGAGAGAAAGAACAACAAGGACGGTTTCAAGTGTCGAAGAGACACCAACAAAAATCACAAGCTTCAAGAATGTTGAGAAAGATTTTTTAAGAATGAATAAAAAAAATCAGCGAAAAGGGCAGAGAGGAAGAGCAACGGTTTCAAGTCGAAGAGACACCATTCAATCAAAATGAATAAAAAAAATCAGCGGAAAGGGCAAAGGAAGAAAACAAGAGACGGTTTAATTGTCGAAGAGACACTAACAAAAATCACAAGCTTCAATGAATGTTGAGAAAGATTTTTTAAAATGAATAAAAAAAATCAGGAAAAGGGCAGAGAGGAAGAACAACAAGAGACGGATTCAAGTGTTGAAGAGACACTAACAAAAATCAGAAGCTTCAATGAATGTGAGAAAGATTTTTTAAAGAATGAATAAAAATAATCAGCGAAAAGGGCAGAGAGGAAGAGCAACAAGAGACGGTTTCAAGTGTCGAAGAGACACCAACAAAAATCACAAGCTTCAAGGAATGTTGAGAAAGATTTTTTAAAATGAATAAAAAAAATCAGCGGAAAGGGCAGAGAGGAAGAACAACAAGAGACGGATTCAAGTGTTGAAGAGACACTAACAAAAATCACAAGCTTCAATGAATGTTGAGAAAGATTTTTTAAGGAATGAATAAAAATAATCAGCGAAAAGGGCAGAGAGGAAGAACAACAAGAGACGGATTCAAGTGTTGAAGAGACACTAACAAAGAAACAAAAATTCAGGGAAAAGGGCAGAGAGAAAGAACAACAAGGGACGGTTTCAAGTGTCGATAAGATAGCAACGAAAATCACAAGTTTCAAAGAATGTTGAGAAAGATTTTTTAGAGAATGAATTAAAAAATATCAGCTGAAAGGGCAAAGAGGAAGAACAACAAGAGACGGTTTCAAGTGTCGAAGAGACACCAACAAAAATCACAAGTTTCAAGGAATGTTGAGAAAGATTTTTTAGAGAATGAATTAAAATAGATCAGCGGAAAGGGCAAAGAGGAAGAACAACAAGAGACGGTTTCAAATGTCGAAGAGACACCAACAAAAATCACAAGCTGCAAGGAATTATGAGAAAGATTTTCTAAAGAATGAATAAAATAAAAATCAGCGGGAAGGGCAGAGAGGAAGAACAACAAAAGACGGTTTAAAGTGTTGAAGAGACACTAACAAAGAAACAAAAATTCAGGGAAAAGGGCAGAGAGAAAGAACAACAAGAGACGGTTTCAAGTGTCGAAAGGATAGCAACGAAAATCACAAGTTTCAAGGAATTATGAGAAAGATTTTCTAAAGAATGAATAAAATAAAAATCAGCGGGAAGGGCAGAGAGGAAGAACAACAAAAGACGGTTTAAAGTGTTGAAGAGACACTAACAAAAATCACAAGCTTCAATGAATGTTAAGAAAGATTTTTTAAAGAATGAATACAATAAAAATCAGCGGGAAGAGGAGAGAGGAAGAACAACAAGAGACGGATTCAAGTGTTGAAGAGACACTAACAAAAATCACAAGCTTCAATGAATGTTGAGAAAGATTTTTTAAGGAATGAATAAAAATAATCAGCGAAAAGGGCAGAGAGGAAGAACAACAAGAGACGGATTAAAGTGTTGAAGAGACACTAACAAAAATCACAAGCTTCAATGAATGTTGAGAAAGATTTTTAAAGAATAAATAGAAACAAAAATTCAGGGAAAAGGGCAGAGAGAAAGAACAACAAAGGACGGTTTCAAGTGTCGAAAAGATAGCAACAAAAATCACAAGTTTCAAGGAATGTTGAGAAAGATTTTTTAGAGAATGAATTAAAATAGATCAGCGGAAAGGGCAAAGAGGAAGAACAACAAGAGACGGTTTCAAGTGTCGATGAGACACCAACAAAAATCACAAGCTTCAAGGAATTATGAGAAAGATTTTCTAAAGAATGAATAAAATAAAAATCAGCGGGAAGGGCAGAGAGGAAGAACAACAAAAGACGGTTTAAAGTGTTGAAGAGACACTAACAAAAATCACAAGCTTCAATGAATGTTAAGAAAGATTTTTTTCAGAATGAATAAAAAAAATCAGCGGAAAGGGCAGAGAGGAAGAACAACAAGAGACGGATTTAAATGTTGGAGAGACACTAACAAAAATCACAAGCTTCAATGATTGTTGAGAAAGATTTTTTAAGGAATGAATAAAAATAATCAGCGAAAAGGGCAGAGAGGAAGAACAACAAGAGACGGATTCAAGTGTTGAAGAGACACTAACAAAGAAACAAAAATTCAGGGAAAAGGGCAGAGAGAAAGAACAACAAGAGACGGTTTAAAGTGTCGAAGAGACACTAACTAAAATCACAAGCTTCAATGAATGTTGAGAAAGATTTTTTAAAGAATGAATAAAGATAATCAGCGAAAAGGGCAGAGAGAAAGAACAACAAGAGACGGATTTAAGTGTTGAAAAGACACTAACAAAAATCACAAGCTTCAATGTTTGTTAAAAAAGATTTTTTAAGAAATGAATAAAAATAATCAGCGAAAAGGGCAGAGAGGAAGAGCAACAAGAGACGGATTCAAGTGTTGAAGAGACACTAACAAAAATCACAAGCTTCAATGAATGTTGAGAAAGATTTTTTAAAGAATGAATAAAAATAATCAGCGAAAAGGGCAGAGAGGAAGAGCAAGAAGAGACGGTTTCAAGTGTCGAAGAGACACTAACAAAAATCACAAGCTTCAATGAATGTTGAGAAACATTTTTAAGGAATGAATAAAAATAATCAGCGAAAAGGGCAGAGAGGAAGAACAACAAGAGACGGATTCAAGTGTTGAAGAGACACTAACAAAGAAACAAAAATTCAGGGAAAAGGGCAGAGAGAAAGAACAACAAGGGACGGTTTCAAGTGTTGAAGAGACACTAACAAAAATCACAAGCTTCAATGAATGTTTAGAGAGATTTTTAAAGAATAAATAGAAACAAAAATTCAGGGAAAAGGGCAGAGAGAAAGAACAACAAGGGACGGTTTCAAGTGTCGAAAAGATAGCAACGAAAATCACAAGTTTCAAGGAATGTTGAGAAAGATTTTTTAGAGAATGAATTAAAAAAGATCAGAGGAAAGGGCAAACAGGAAGAACAACAAGAGACGGTTTCAAGTGTCGAAGAGACACCAACAAAAATCACTAGCTTCAAGGAATGTTGAGAAAGAATTTTTTAAGATGACTAAAAAAAATCAGCGGAAAGGGCAGAGAGGAAGAACAACAAGAGACGGTTTCAAGTGTCGAAAAGACACCAACAAAAATCACAAGCTTCAATGAGTGTTAAGAAATATTTTTTAAAGAATAAAGAGTAACAAAATAAGGGAAAAGGGCAGAGAGAAAGAACAACAAGGGACGGTCTGAAGTAGCAAAAAGATACCAACGAAAATCACAAGCTTCAAGGAATGTTGAGAAAGATTTTTTAGTGAATGAATTAAAAAATCGGCGTAAAGGGCAGAGAGGAAGAACAACAAGGGACGGTCTCAATTGTCGAAGAGACACCATCGAAAATTACAAACTTCAATGAGTGTTGAGAAAGATTTTTTGAAAAATGATCCAGTCAACGAAAATGCAGAGAGGCAGAACAACAAAAGATGGTCTGAAGTGTTGAAGAGATACTAGCAGATCTTACAAACTTTAATGAGTATGAGGAAGTGGTTTCTAGAGGATAAATCAAAGATTAATTCTGCAAAAAGGAAAAAGGGTCAGAGCAATAATAGATGGTCTAAAGTATCAAAGAGATACCAGCAGATCCCGAAAACCTGAATCAATTTGAAGAAGGGCTTTGTAAAGAATGAATCTAAGATCAAATCAGCGAAATGAGCAGAGGGTCAGATTAAATTAGCAAACCATTAAGTGGTAGAATTTTGCTCTATAATTACGAATAGACAATTTGGAAAATCAGAAAGTTTGTTTGATCTTATGTGAAATTAATGATCATAATAATGAAGATCAACATCGCAACAAGCGAATAAATGAAAAATTAAATCAGCTAACGTAGAAAAGGGTCCTATAGAAGACACTCGTTTAACGTTAAAACGTTAGAAAGACACCACAGTTTGGAAGCCTAAAGCAAAGGTTGGTTCGCGATGCAAATAGCTTTCGGAAATGTAATACTTAAAAGGTTTCTCAAATATTTAGATGAGAAAGACAAAGCAATACCAGTTTATTTTCTACTTTTTTCAAAAGGCATCCAAACAACACTCACCACGTCCCTCGTCATTCATACACAATCTTCCGTAGCCATGTGTTTTGATCTGCAACGGAATTCATTTTTTTAGAGTTTTATCAACAAAAAAAGGTTCTGATAATCACGGAAACCAAGAAAGCTAAAGCAAAAAATATTAAGGAATGTATTCCTGGTTATGTTTTTAAAAAACTAGGAACAAGACGGAGTTCAGACAGTGTACTTGAGGGATTCTTTTTTCTTATATGCCTAGTGCTTTCAATTTTCACAGCAGAATCGCATTGTCAATAGTTTTAAATGTTTTTCTATACTTAAGAAGATTATATATTGACACCAATAACCAATAGTATTAATGAATTAATGTTAACCATTGTTTTGCCGAGATGATAGACAGATTAATCGTCAAAGACATTCATGATCATAATGATGCATGCAGATGAGAACATAGAATTCCATCATGTATTCCATTTTCCATAGGTATTAATTTTGGGGGCTATCTGAAACCGAATTCTTAAGGACTACATAGCATGCTGAAAAACAAAGATTTTACAAAGATGATGGGATTACAGTCAAGTCAATACCACATAGCAGGGTGGACATTTTTCCAGGGCCAGGAGGAGGGACGCTAAAAGTTTAGCTCGCGAGTTAAATGTAAAGCTCATTCAACATAAATAGGTAGAAATAAAGAAAAAAGCGACTGGTTTTCGGAAGGTTCAATATGCCAACGCCTAGAACAAGCTAACTCATTGTTTGGTGCTGAATGCATTTTAGGAATTGTTAGGTGGCTACATTTTTATATTTTTGCCAGAGATTAAAAAATTACTTTTTAGAAATTTTTATTGAAAGAGCTTCCAAGCAAGGAACTTTTGTTGGTGTCCAGCAAAAAGGTTTTCATTCTAAAAATTTTCTGGGCCTCTCTCACCAAAGGGGAAGGGGGGGGGGGGTAATAATTTATCTTTAAAATAGGGGTGCCTAGGTTACTTTTAGGCTCTAGAATTTGGACAAAGTTTATTAAAGTTCTTCAATATAAAAAACCGTGATTCTATATTGGACAAATAATTTTTACGAAAAAAAAAAATTTCTTTAATTTCCGGTGAGCAGTGGTCTTAGAAATTTAAACGAAAAACAAATTCAATTGTAAAACCCCTTTCTTGGGACCAGGAAATTCTAAAGCAATTTCTTTGGTAAATCAAAAATGAGAAATGAGATGATAAATGAGAAAGGATTTGAAAAAAGTCGAGAAAAATCGCAAACTGCCGTCTAAAGAAAATTTTTTGAAAAGATTTCATGCTAGAGGGACGAAGTGTACACCACGTACACCACGTGCACAGAAGAAGAGAAGGCAAAAGAAATTTGGTTTATAAATAAACAAAGTAAAAAATTGCAGTAATTTGATACTTCTTACCTTCATGAAATTATTGGTTATCTTCAGTTGCCGCGAAGGTGATTGTGTAGGATATTTCCACTGGGATAAGTACACTGTTGTCGATAATAATTTTCTTGGAAGCCATGTTGTTTTCAAAGTGAAAAATTTTGTTGGCACATGCCTTGCTGGGCATGATGGGAAGGAAAGTCTCCTCCGTAGGAGAAAAATATGAATATTGAAACAAATCGAGTGGTTTGAGGGCAAGTGAAAATTAATCCCACCGAATTTTTTAAGCTGGAAATATTTCCTATCAAAATTTTCAAACGCTAGAAAAATCTCGTTTTTAATTTTAAACTATAATTAAACTATATTAATTTTTGCTAAAACTAGCGTTTGTAAACGAAAATCTCTTAGAATTCTTAACAAAATTCGGGAAAACTTCACATGATGTCACGAGACAATGTATCTCAGATGTTTTTTTGAGGTCTAGGGCAAAGTTTCAGTCTTGACCCCCATATTGAAGCTTTACAAACAGGTAAAAACATCCCTTTGTTCTTGAATAACCTTTGAAAGTGTGAAAACAAACTAGAACCTTTGAAATGTAAATTGACACCATTATTAACTTAATACCGGATGAAGACTATCTAAAAATTAACAAGACTATATGTAACAAATCAGAACAGAATCCAATTGAAAACAATGTCTTCTATTTAATGCATAGTTTTTGAATTTTAATCACAAGTTCTTTCTCTGACGTTATTTGCCTGATAATTTCCAAAGCTATTATTTGCATAAAACATGACGAGACATTCTTTAAGAATAAGAAAAAAATTCCAACCATCAAGATGATCAAAATGTTTTAAAGATAGCAGTGATGGTGACACAGATTCGGATTCACAATTTATTCAGTCCTGCAAGATATAAAGCTTTTTTGTCTTTTTTGTATAAAAGAGTGTATCATAGCTTGGCTTATGGTGAATTTGTATGTAAATTGCGCAAAACATATAAACAATTTGCAAAAAGGTTGAAGAAATTATAGTCAAAAGGAAAGAAGTAACAAACTGAATTAAAACTTTAGGAGAAAACCGAATGACTTTAAAAATTTTTTATTGAGTTTTAATAATTTTGGTCACAAAAGAAAATGGGGTCCATCCACCATGATGTACCGAGGCAATTCTAGCGTGCAATTCATTACCTCAAACGGTCTTTTGACACTATTTGAAAAAACTTTAAATTCATTTCATAAAATTGGTAGCAAATGGTCTTATTTTAAGACCCAAAGGTACCAAAATCAAGAACACCCTTAAACGTCTCCGAATGTTAAAATGACCTATCAAGGCAATTCTAGCGTGCAATTCATTACCTAAAACGGTCTTTTGACACTATTTGAAAAAATTTTAAATTCATTTCATAACATTGGTAGCAAATGGTCTTATTTTAAGACCCAAAGTTACCAAAATCAAGAACACCCTTAAACGTCTCCGAATGTTAAATTGACCTATCAAGGCAATTCTAGCTTGCAATTCATTACTTAAAACGGTCATTTGACGCTATTTGAAAAAGACTTTAAATTTATTGCATAAAATTGGTAGCAAAGGGTCTTATTTTAAGACCCAAATGTACCAAAATCAAGAACACCCTTAAACGTCTCCGAAAGTTAAAATGACGTACCGAGGCAATTCTAGCGTGCAATTCATTACCGCAAACGGTCTTTTGACGCTATTTGAAAAAGACTTTCAATTTATTGCATAAAATTGGTAGCAAATGGTCTTATTTGAAGACCCAAAGGTACCAAAATCAAGAACACCTTAAGGATGTAGTTCACACTTTTGAAAAAGCATTTTCTAAAAATTTTCAGTTTTCATTTTTTGTTTCATTCTACGCCAAAATTATCGTAGAATTCGGTAGAAATAGTTATTTTGACAACCACATTGAGGTTTAGACACAATTAACTTGTTTTTCGACAGTAGTCGGAAGTTTATTCCTTAGCAACGACTTTTTAGCGTTGCTAAGGAGCTCATTTTTGTGTCTTTTTGTAAGAAATTACCCCCAAGCCTCAAGCCTGCAGGCTTTCCCTGTGGAATGATAAACATCTTATGAACACCCTGTGGTAGCCTCTTTTGCGATCAGAGGCTGAGAAACACGCCAAATTCGCACACTTTACAGTCACTCAGATGTTGGATTGCGAAACGGAATACAAATTTATTCTGATAATGCCTTTATTGAATCGATATTATAAGTAAAACATGCCACCGAATAAAAGAAGGGCTCTAGCAAGTAGAGTTAAGAGGAAAAG